CTAGATCTTCAACGACAATCTCGATATTTCATTTCAATTTTAATTAATATTTCATTTTAATTTTAATTAATAATTTGCGCCGACTAATAATTTAATTAATAATAGTGTGCGTCACATCGTATTTTTACACCACGCGCGCGTCAAATTGTATGTATATATGTGATGACATATATATATATATATACTCCTTCCATAACGAATGTCAGATGGACACGAAACTAGCGCTCCTTGCGTAAAGAATGTCAGACGGAGACGAAAGGAATGCGGTCGACGACGACAATAATAATGACAATGACGTCGACGTATCTGAATCTAAAAAAGTAGCAGTTCGGAACTTTGCATCGCGATATCTCCGCTCGTAGGGCACGTAGGAAAAAAATAAAAGCACTTTTATTATATAATCCGAGCGGTAGCTATCGATTGAGCGTATATAGAACTCGATCAGGTCAGCCGTTATTGAGATCTGATAATCTCAATCTGCCGCAACTCGCCGGCTCGCGTAAAGTATCCACGGCAGTGTCGCTGCGCTTGGCTTAGCGCCGAGACACTACCGTGTCTCCAGATATGTCGTAATGGTTGAATATAAGATTGTTCCTGATAAGTATGCATATGCCCCTTTGACCTGGGTGTGTAGAATCTTTCCTGACAGCTTGAAAGGCGGAGAGTCTGAAAGTTGATTTTGAAGAAAGCAAGGTGTCTTGAATACAGAAGATGTCAAATTGACGGTAAATATGTTGAAGATGTGGAAGTTTGCCGCGTATACCGCAACAATTCCATTGTAGAATTCTAATATTGTTGGCCAAATCTTTGCGGATGAAGATGGCGGTTATTAGCAAGGTCGAAGGGGGTGTATAAGAGGGGTCTGGATAAGGCTTGTACGCGTGGCGTGCTGGATCCGAAGGGAGCAATCCCAGAGCAGTGAGAATACCTTGAATCTTGCGGAGCCAATAAATTATGACTTCTGATAGCTCCGTAATCGCTGGGATGTTAATCAGGGAGCCGCAGTGTTTTAAGAAATTAATGATTTTTTGAATTGTAATACTTGCGTCTCCTCCAAGGAGATTGCCGGCTAACGAGAAAGTCGGCGATTCCTTTGGTGCGTTGCCAACCAAGGATCGGGACTCAGGTTCAGTATTAAGTCCATAACGGCCATTGGGAGCGTTGAGTATGTTGTAGTGCTCATGCGAGTATCCTAGGATATCTGTGGTTATTCTTGTGGGCATTGAAAGGCGATTGTTCCGAATTAGATGGTCGAATAATTTTGTATCTGCCGTTGAAGGTTTCATTGTTGCGAATTGTTGGTTTTCCGGTTTTAAGAATTGATGATGTCGGATTAACCTGCGTATTCCTATTGGATGCAGCCATGTCCGCATAGCTTACTTGATGGTTAGGATTTCCATCGTCCTCATGTTGTAGGTACTGAAATCCATTTAATAGTGGTGAGGCTGCCTTCTGAAGAGAGTGTTTGAAAGTGTTCCAGCTGAGAGAACTA